TATCCTAGTAGTATCCTTAGTCAGCTCTCGTGGCATTTTATTTAGGTTATTTCAGATTTACACTCTCCATTCTCCTTAGATACTTAGGTATTACCATAGGCTCGCTCTCTCTCAGCAGATCACCTTTCTTCTTACAGAGAAAATAGCTTATCTGCATTCATCCTCTCCTCCAATTACAATAAAGGAGGTATTCCTCTTACTGTCTCTAGTTTATCCTTTGGATCCCACCCTACTTTCTTCTCAAAAATTACCCTCCTATACCTTAAACCTCTCTTATAGGATCCTTCTTGTTAGCTTTGAAACAGTCAATTTAGTTAAATCTAATATTTATGTATACGAGCTCTTAGGAAGTATTGGCTAACAGTGTAATAACATTTGAAATGGGTTCCTGATTGTATAGCAATGTAAAAAGTTTTGAATTCAGACTAATATTCTGGCCTCAGCTCTGTCAGAAACTCCCTATATGACACTGAGTGGTTTTCTCTGTGCTTTAGTTTCCTAATGAGTCAAATAAGAATGATATCTCTGGGAGAAAGCCTTCTGAGTAAAATCATAAATGCCAAGGGCTTAGTAGCCAGGTCAGAAATGCAGAAGTCTTCTGGTTTTATAGTTGGGTTTATACTTGTGATCATGCCAGGCAGCATTTCATGTACAACAAAGTAAAGCATGATTCTGATTGGGAATGAAATTTAGGGTATGTGCCCTGAGTAGATAAATGGGGAAAAAGAGACTGTGATTAAAACAAATGTAAATACACATACACACACACACATATACATAAATATATATATATATATATTTGGCTGTGCTGGGTCTTTGTTGCTGCAAGAGTGATCTTTCAGTTACTGTATGAGGGATCTTTAGTTTTGAACTCTTAGTTGCAGCATGTAGGATCTATTTTCCTGACCAGGGATGGAACCTGGGTCTTCTGCCTTGGGACTGGGGAGTGTTAGCCACTGGAGCACCAGGCAAGTCCTTTTTTTTTTTTCCTCTTTTAAAAAAGAGTTTCCTTAACTAATATACATTGGCTGATCTAACCTGTGCTTCACGACATAACTCTCTTGTGTATCTTGGGAGGCTACTTAATTATTGAAGGAGCTCAGTTTAATCTCCTTTTGTTATAACTGCATAGAATATCCAGTATTGATGAAATAATAATGAGTACATTGGGTCATCTTAAGTCCATCAAAATACAACATCAAAATGATAAAGCAGGAAAGGAGCTTGGAAGAATAACTATGTGAATACATGCCCAAAGTGCTGATTTATTAATTAAATATTCTCTTCAGATGAAAGGTATTACATTATAAAATAACATGATCCAATTATCTATTCTATTTTAAAAAATCACCCAGGAAATTCCCTGGCGGTTCCACGGTTAGGGTTACGAGCTTCCATTGAAGGGGGCACAGGTTCCATGCCCGGTTAGGGAACTAAGATCCTGTATGCTGCACAGTGAGGCCAAAAAAAAAAAAAAAAATCACCAAAACTTAGTGACTTAAAACAATTTTAAAATCTCTGTTTCAGTGGGTCAGGAATTTGGAAACAGCTCAAGCTGTACATCTCTGGCTATAGTCTCTCAGGCAGTAGTAGTCCACTGGTGGCCAAAGCTGGAACAGAGTGGGGCTGGGATCAGCTGGTGGTGGTGGGCATCTCTCTTCATGAAGTGTCACGGCTTCTGTATGCAAGCTACCTGGAGCTTCCTCAGAGCACAGCAGCCTCAGGACAGTCGGTCCACTTACTCAGTGGCTCGGGTTCACCTGTGAAAGCTTCCAGAAAAAAAGGATAAAGCTGTGTAGCTTCAGAAGTCATACAGGATCATTTAATAAACTGCCACATTCTCTTGGTTATATGTGAATCACAAGCCCACTCAGATTCAAGGGGAGGGGAATTAGGTTCTACTTGTTGATGGGGTGGGTTTCCTTGGTGGCTTAGCGGTAAAGAACCCACCTGCCAATGTAGGAGATGTGGGTTCAGTCCCTGGATCAGGAAGATCCCCTGCAGAAGGAAATGGCAACCCACTCCAGTATTCTTGTCTGGGAAATCCCACGGACAGAGGATCCTGGCGGGCTTCAGTCCTTGAGGTTGCAAAAGAGTCAGACGTGACTCAGCGACTGAAGTGAAGTGAAGTTGCTCAGTCATGTCCGACTCTGCGACCCCATGGACTGTAGCCTACCAGGCTGCTCCCTCCATGGGATTCTCCAGGCAAGAGTACTACAGTGGGTTGCCATTTCCTTCTCCAAACAACAGCAAAAATTGATGGGGCAGTGGCAAAACTGCTTTGCACAACAGCATGTGGGATGAGGAATATTTTTTGTGGCAATCTTTAGAAAATATGCTTTGCCACAGTGATCTTGTTGTTCAGTTGCTAACTCGTATCCAACTCTTTGTGACCCCATGGACTGCAGCACACGAGGCTTTCCTGTCCTTCACTATCTCCTGGAGTTTGCTCAAACTCACATCCATTGAATTGATGATGCCATCCAACTGTCTCTTCGTCTGTTGCCCCTTCTCCTTCTGCCCTCAATCATTCCCAGCATCAGGGTCTCTTCCAGTGAGTTGGCTCTTCACGTCAGATGGCCAAAGTACTGGAGCTTCAACTTCAGCATCAGTCCTTTCCTTTAGGATTGACTGGTTTGATCTTGTAGTACAAGGGATTCTCAAGAGCCTTCTCCAGCACCACAGTTCAAAAGCATCAATTCTTTTGGGGCTCAGCCTTCTTCGTGGTAATCTAAATGAAAGCAAATACTTGTCTGTAGATGAAAGAGAGGGGGCGGGCAGAAAGAAAAAGAGGTCCTCATGACTCACCAGTCTAAAATAATTTAGATAAACCCATCAAGGGGGATGGGCTTCCCTGGTGACTCAGATGGTAAAGAATCTGCCTGCAATGTGGGAGACCTGGGTTCAGTCCCTGAGTTGGGAAGATCCCCTGGAGGTGGGCATGGCAACCCACTCCAGTATTCTTGCCTGGAGTATCCCCATGGACAGAGGAGCCTGGCGGGCTATCATCCATGGGGTTGCAATGAGTTGGAAATGACTGAGTGACTAAGCACACATCAAGGGGTACAAAGTGAAGGAAAGTTACATGGCTCAAAATAGCCTGGAGTTAAAACTCCCCTCTGGGTCCTCCCCACCACTCTATGCAAAACAAAGAACTCTCTCACCCGAAGAAAAAAAATGGACATTAAGGTAGATTATGACCAGCTCCCAGCTGGTCCAGCCTCTGGCCATCCCCAGAATTCCTTGCCCCCGCTGTTTAAGAGATAACTACTCCGAACAACCTTGGAGAAGAACAGGCTCCCTTAAGACAGTAGATTTCCACATATATGCCTGTATATACTTACTCTACTCTTTTCTTGGGTTAGTACAGCAGCTCACTTATCTAACTGCTGCCCCTTCTCCCCTCATTAAAGGTGATCTGACCTGTTCCTGTAAAGTGCCAGTCTCGATCTTTTTCCGAACCTCGCCTTCTCTAACTCCCTTACAGTACACAAAACACTGTGAGTGCAGGTGTGTAGCTGTGAGTTACAATTTCTCCTTTCTTTTAAAAATATTTATTTGGCTGCATCGGGTCTTAGTTGTGGCATATGCGATGTAGTTTCCTGACCAGGGATCGCTGCATTGGGAGCCTGGAGTTTTAGCCACTGGACCACAAGGGATGTCCCAACAATTCCAAATATTATCAGCCTCTTGTGTAAACAATCCCCAGGATGTATGATGTTGGTGCATAGAGTTCAGCCAAAGAAAGTGATGTCAAATTTTTTTACCTCGTAGGAAATGAAAGTAAAACCTGTTTTAAACCTCAATGTTTTAAACACTCACTGAAAATAACTGCATGTGCCACCTGGCGGTGAGACAGTCAAATATACATTCTGTCCTGTTGGCTGTATATATGGAGTTGTCATCAGAGATAGCCTTTACTGTAAAACAAGTCTAACATCTGGAAGTGCATGTGTCCAAACAAACAGCCAAAACACAAACACAGAAAGGGGAATAGGACATAATAAAGAGGAAAGAGTGTGTGGATGAGCCAAATCAGCCTCCTTTTCATTAATCCTAAATTCTTTTAATCCTCTGTTCCATTGGCTTTTCATGTACCTTCAAATCCAGTAAGGAGGGTATGTTGTTGTTAGTTGCTAAGTCTATCCTACTCTTTGCCACCCCATGACTATAGCCCTCCTGGCTCCTCTGTTCATAGGCATTCCCAGTCAAGACTACTGGAGTGGGTTGCCGTTCCCTCCTCCAGGGGATCTCCCTGAAGCAGGGATGGAACTGGAGTCTCCTGCATTGGCAGGTGGATTCTTTACCCCTGAGCCACCAGGGAAGCCCAAGGTTACGGGGGACAAGAAATTAACGAAAATCTTTGCTACTACACTGTGGGGTGTAAGGTTGTTATTCCAAATGTTGACCGTAGTGATCTAGTTTACAAATGTGGGCTCTTCCACCCCTGCTGTCCATTGTCCCAGCACCTTCTGGACCCAATAGAAAATTTACTGTAGCAAAACTAGGGCAGCCTAGCATTGGTCGGTCTCTTAACAGTGAAAAAAATCATTCGGTGTTTATGTGAAAATTTTAAATAGACATCCTGTGTTTTATCTGGCAACCTGGGAAGTGTAGCTGGGGATCTGAATCTCCATGAGCGCTCCAACAGGACGCTTCTGGGCCTTTCTGGCCCGAGAAGGAAGTGCTAGGCAGGGGCGTAAGGTGTGCTGCCAGCCGCCAGGCCGCACCAGGGTCAGGCAATTTGGAAAACAGTCCGGAGCCCCAGGGCGCAAGCCGGAGCCCCAGGGCGCAAGCCGGAGCCCCGGAGCCAGAGCCGGCCGCCCGACTCCAAGATGGCGCCCTCGGCCGCTGCCAGCTGCCAAGATGGCGGCGCGGGACCGCGCCCGCGCTCCCGGCCTCGCCTCCCCCAGCCTTCCTCCGTCGGGGAGCGCGACTCGCGTCGCTGTGCGCCTGTTGCCCTTCGGCCTGGGTGTACCGGCCGGTGCCCGCCGCGCACCATGCGGCTCCTAGGCTGGTGGCAGGTTCTGCTGTGGGTGCTGGGGTCTCCTGCCCGCGCCGAGGAGAGTGAGTACAGGCTGGGGCCGTGGGCGGCGGCGCGGGAGGCTGTGCGTGAAATGACCGGCAAGGTGGGCTACCTGGGCGACGCTCTTTTTATCTGCGCGAAGGCCCGGATCTGCGCGCCTCGCCTCTTCCTGGCGCCCTCTAGAGCGCCTCTCTCTACGTTGTCCCGACCTCTTTCCTCCGGTGGTCCCGGCTCGCGGTCCGGGTTGGGATGCCCCGACCGTGTATTAGCGCTTACTGAGGCGTACCCGCATGTGCTGAGCACTTTATTATTAATGATAATCATAACGAGTAGCCGACCTGTACCGTGTCGCAAAGAGTCGGACACGACTTAGCGACTGATCAACAACAACCGTGCCCTTAGTAGGAGCCAGAAACTGTGCATAGTACTTTCTATCATGTTCTCCTTTTGTCTTCCCACCGAGATATGTTCTGAGTATCCCTGTTTTGCTGATGAAGATGCTGAGCTCAGAGAGGCTAAGTAATCTGCCTACCTTCGTGCTTCTGGTAATTGGCAGAGCCTGTATCTCTCACTGCAAAGCCCACGATTTACTTTGCACCCTACTGGACCACTTTCTTAAGAAGGTCATTCTTGCTCAGGTGCCTGTGTGAAGGATAGATGGGAACAACACAGCAGACACCCCGGGTAACCCGCTGCTTGCCACATCATCCTCTTAGGCCCTCCTCCGTGGGGGGAGGCAGCCACCTGGAGGCATGGCTGGGACTTAGTCTCATTGCTCTTTCTCCCCACTCCTCACAGCTCTGTTAAAGTCCAGACCTTTTGACCTTGCTTGTTATTCAGAATTTACCAGGAATACGCGGGCTTCCCAGGTAGCGCTAGTGTTAAAGAACATGCCTGTCAGTGCAGGAGACAGAAGAGATGCAGGTTTGATCCCTGGGTGGGGAAGATCCCCTGGAGGAGGGCATGGCAATCTACTCCAGTATTCTTGCCTGGAGAACCCCATGACAGAGGAGCCTGGCGGGCTACAGTCCATGGGGTCGCAAAGAGTAGGACACAACTGAAGCGACTTAGTGCGCCTGCATCAGGAGTATGCAGGGCCTTCCTTTTGCAACAGTGTCCTGGAAAGAGGCAAGGCAGCCGGCTTGCTGAGTGATGAAAAGTAATGAAAACACTCATTATATGCCAGGCAGTATCCTTAGCGCTTTTTGAGCATCATTTGTTATTTTTATTCAAAACAACTTGTTTCCCTATCACAAAAATTGTATAACCATACCACCAACAGCTGCAGAGTCCGTAGGGTTACATCAGTGGAGGAGAGTTCACTGGGTATTTCCAATGTCCTTAAGGTCATAAAGGAGAAAAAAAGGAAAAGAAAAAGTACTCAAAACAAATCCAAAACCCATGATGACTTTGGGGAGAGATGTCACATGACAGTTTCTGTTTTCTCTTATTCTGACTTCAAGTTCTAACTCTCTGCATCACTCAGACTTCCTTTTGATTTTCTGTAAGAGAAATCTGTCTAGTTGTACAGGAAGGCGATCAGGAGCACCAGATTCTATTTTGCGCCCTGATTTTTTTCTCTGGAGACTCTTTCAGGGTGTTGGCATTCTCCATTTGCTGTAGGGGCCTGGAATGTTGGGTAGGGTCACGGAGAGCAGGTCTCTACAGAGCTGGTGCATCTGAGAGTGGGATTGGCTCCCCAGTCCGCCACCTTTTGTTCTTCTCCAGGCTTTTAGCCTCTCTGGCTTCATCTCCTGCTCTCATCTTAAGAACAATCCAGTAATCATGTTGAGTTTGACTTCTGATTATACATGCAGTACATATTTATCAACGCAAGGCTGCAGAAAGACTGCCATCCCCACCATCTTGGCAGAACTCCCTGTCCAGGCACCCAGCCCCTTCCCTAGGTCATAGTCAAAACAGTGCTTGACCCACTTCTGTCAGGACCTGCCTTGCTTCCCAAACCCTGTACTCTGCTCTATCTATCCTGTCATTTCTCCCTGCTTATCTGTTTTTCCATCAGTTTTATGTCCTTAAATTTATCTGATGTCCTAAAAACCAAATCCTGTCCCTTAGCCCCCTACCTGCCCATAACAACTACCTGCTCTTTCTTTTCCTTTTCAGAGCTAGATTTTCAGAAAGAATTGTGTATATTTATATATTGATAGATGCCACATGTAAGAAAGATCATACAGTATTTGTTTTTCTCTGATTTATTTTACTTAGCATAATGCCCTCAAGGAGGTCCATCCATGTTATTGCAAATGGCAAGATTTCCTTTTTTTAAATGGCTGAATAATGTAATACATATATATACACATATATAATATCACATTAATAACATATTAATGTGATATTAACATATTAATGTTAGTATGTGTGATGTATATATCACATTTTCTTTATCCATTCGTTCATTGATTGCTTTCCTGTCTTGGCTTTTGTAAATAATGCTGCAGTGAACATGGGGGTGTATATACCTTTTTGAGTGAGTGTTTCTATTTTCTTTGGGTAAATATCCAGAAGTGGAATTGCTGAATCACATGGTAGTTCTATTTTTTATTTTTTGAGGAACCTCCATACTGTTTTCCATAGAGGCTGCACCAATTTACATTCCTATTGACAGTGCATGAGGGCTCCCCTTTGTCCACACCCTTGTCAGCATTTGTCATTTCTTGTCTTTTTGATAATAGCCAGTCTAACATGTATGAGGTGCATTTCATTGTGGTTTTGACTTACATTTTGATCTGTTTTTTTTTAATATCTTGTGTTCTCTGCATCTACTTTTTAAACATGTAATGCAGTTGCTATTTTAATAGCCTTGTCTAACAATTCTGACAGCCGTGCAAGTTCTGGGTCAGGTTTGATTATTCTCATTATGGATAATGAGGAGAATTTCCCTCCTTCTTTGCACGCCTGGTAATCTTAGATTGGATGCCAGATGTAAATTTTTAGTTTGTTGAGTGCTAGGTATTTTACTATTCTTATAAATACCCTTGAGCTTTGTTCAAATATCCACTTATTTGAACACAGTTTGATTCTCTTTTCAGGTTTGCTAGGTGAGAGCAGAACTGTATTTACTTTAGGGTAAATTGGGCCCTACTAATCCACCTGCCAATGCAGGAGATGTGGGTTCAATCCCCGGGTCAGGAAGAGATCCCTGGGTCAGGAAGGTCCCCTGAAGGAGGAAATGGCAACCACTCCAGTATGCTTGCCTGGAAAATTCCATGGATAGAGGAACCTGGAGGACTGCAGTCCATGAGGTTGAAAAGAGTTGGCCACAACTTGACAATTCAACACGCACGCACCAAAGCAAGTCCCTTTTGTGCACTCTCCCCAGGGCTCCGTGACTTATGAGGTTTTCCAGTGTAGTGGGTGGGGACAGGCCCTATTCCCAGTTCTCTGTGGGGACTGGGTAATTGTTATCTCTCATCCTTTTGAGTGGTTCTTTCCTTGGTTTTGGGCAGTTTACTTACATGCATATGCTGACCAGTACACTCAAGGAGGCCCCTCCACAGATGACCAGAGTGCTCTTTCTGCAGCTCTCCCATCTCCAGGGTTCTGTTGTGCAGGCTCTGGCTTTCTTAGTCTTTCTGGACCCTCCATCTCAACTGAGTCAAGGCAGGAACTCCCCAGGCGGTAAGCTGGAGCTGTTGTAGGCTCTTCTCGCCTGTTTCCTGTGTTTTCAGTGGTCACTGTCCTTCCCTGTCCCAGTCTCCTGAAGATGTTGTTGCACATATTTGGCTGTTTTGGTGGTTGTTTCAGGAGGGAGAGTAAATCTAGTTTCTGTTTTTCCACTTAGCTTGAAATGAATTCCCGGAGAGTGTTTTTGAGTTGCCGAGTGAGTCTGCAGACATCTGTGGAAATGTTCTTTGAGACATTATACAAGCGTGCATGCCTTAGGAAGCTCCCAGACCCCTCCCCAGCTTTGAAGCCAGTTGGTCATTCACACTCTGGTAGACACGCTCTTTTGCGTGCAGGACTCCTGCCATAGCTGCTGGCTCCCCAGCCATATGGCGGGCTTGTCCGGGTGCGGCTGCACTCATTCCTTACCCAGAGTCTGGCGGTTGTTGTTGAGGTCGTGAGAGGTGGAGGGCAAGAGTCATTATTACAGAGGTGAGTGGAGCTTGCTATATGGATGTGTGAGACTGCCTCGGACTCCTCCCTTACCCAAACCTTTGGCTCAAGCCCCATCTAGTGGCTCCTGAGTGAGAGGAAAGCCTCCTCCTCTGGCTGCTGTCCCAGCTCTGCTGGGCACATCTTTAAGCACTCCTGTGGGCTGTGGCCCAAGGGCAGCAGGCAGGAAAGCAGAGGCCAGTGGTGGAGGCCACCCCAGGAAGAGCTGCTGCTAGCTGTAGTGGTGTTCCTCAGGCAGTGTGGCCTGGCAGCCCTCTGAGGTATCTTGCAGGGAGGTAAGGCCCGCTCTGGAGCAGTAGTCGCAAGACTTCGCTCCTGTTGCTTACTGCTTTGTGCCATTGTGCATCACGCTGAACCTCTTGTACTTCACCTCAGTCATCTGTTAAGTTGACGTGGTAGCCTTCATCCCGTCCATCTCTCAGAGCTGATATAATGGGTGCAAAGATGCTTCACCACAGTAGAATCTTCCATATTGTTCAGTTGCCCAGTTGTGTCTGACTCTTTGCGACCCCATGGACTGCAGCACGCGAGGCCTCCCTGTCCCTCACTACCTCCTAGAGTTTGCCGAAGTTCACGTCCATTGCATCTGTGATGCCGTCCAGCCATCTCATCCTCTGACACCCTCTTCTCATGCCCTCAATCTTTCCCAGCATCAGGGACTTTTCCAATGAGTCATCTGTGTGCATCAGATGACCAGAATACTGGAGCTTCAGCATCAGTCCTTCCAGTGAATATTCAGGGTTGATCTCCCTTAAGACTGACTGGTTTGATCTCCTTCCTGTCCAAGGGACTTTCAGGAGTCTTCTCCAGCACCACAGTTCAAAGGCATCAATTCTTGGCATTCTGCCTTCTTACGGTCCAACTCTCAAACCTGTACATGACCACTGGAGAATCTTCCATAAAGCCATCATTATTTTCTTGGATAGTCTCATCAAACAAATTAAATTGTTAAAGTGTTTGTATTGTATTTTCCTAATTGGATGTCTGGAGTGGAATGTTTTTGCTTGTAATCCACATGGCAAGCTGCAGGTTTCATGTGAAGCTGTGTGTTTGTCCACTTCTGGGCATTCATTAGTCTAGAACCCCCTTGTGATCTTCTTCATGACCTGGAGAATGATGGGTGGCTCTCTGATAGTTTAGCAGGAAGGTAACTTTTTATATCTAGTTCCCTGACCTGGGATCGAACAGGAAGGAAATTTTTCATATTTGAGAACTGTGATTCTTTGGGATTCATTTATTTTGAAGTCAGATATGACTGTGAACATGCTGGCATGTTTTAGTTGCAGAGAAAAGAAGTCACTTATGGTCAGAGGAGCAGCCTGCTTACCCATTCCAGGTGGGGGCTGTGTACATGAGTGAGGAGGTGCCTTCCCCTGACCCAGTGGGCCAGGACCCGTCTGCAGAAGAGACGGAGGCAGTGCTGGGGCTGGATGCTGACGGCAACCACATGGTGATGTTGTCGGTGATTCCCGGGGAAGCCGAGGACAAGCTGAGCCCAGAGTCCAGCAGTGGCACCTGCGGGGCCGGAGGGGAGGAGGACCCGAGGTGCAACCTTCGGGAGAGCCTCTTCTCCCTGGACAGAGCTGGAGCAAGCTTCTCGGAGAGAGAAGAGGAGTACTACACTGAGCCCGACGTGGCGGAATCCGGCCCCACCCCAACTGAGGACGCCAACACCACTGAAAGTCTCAAGTCCCCAAAGGTCAGCTGTGAGGAGAGAAATGTGACAGGATTAGAAAATTTCACCCTGAAAATTTTAAATATGTCACAGGTAAGGAAAAATTATTTAGTACTTTTCTCCTTTTCTGCACGTTGATTTTATGATTTAATTCTCTGTCATCTTTCACATGCAGAGTCATAATCTTCATCATATTGTAAGTGGGATGGCATTTAGTGGCTGCATTGGTGAAAATTCACTTGACTTTTTGTGGTATATGTAGGGAAAGGAGGAGATATAACTAGTGTTGACTCTGCTTTTTAGGTGGCCTAAACCTGGTCATCCTTGGGGTAATCTCACCACCAGGCCTCGTGATAAAAATCCCCGTGTACAGGGAGGTGTTTGGTATCAGAATCATAGCACTTTTCTTCTCAATGAAGTATTTATTATGGAGATATAAAAATGAGATATCTGAGTTACTAAAATTGTAATTTAGCACTGTTTGGACCAGTCATGTCTCTGAGAAGTTTGTTATATTGATGGAAAGTTTTTTCTTTTTCCTCCGGAGAGTATGAACCTAGTGTTTACTCTGGACTGAGAGCTGACACATTTGTCCAGGCCAGGCATGCTTTCCAGCTAGTTAGATAAATGGTGATTCTAAAGAGAATACCAGGATTCTGACTGATGTTTTCTGTCAGATTGTTCAAGCCAGAGAGCAGAATGAATTCAGGCCGCTTATATAAGATACGAATCCTAGCTGTGAGAACTGTAGTTGCTTATTTTATTATTATTTAAAAATAGTTATTTATTTGGCTGTGCTGGGCATTGGTTGTGGCACAAGGGGTCTTCAGTCTTCATTGCAGGATCGTTAGTTGCAGCATGTGAACTCTTAGTTGTGGCGTGTGGCATCTAGTTCCCTGACCTGGGATTGAACCTGTGCCCCCTGCATTGGGACCACAGAGTCTTAGCCACTGGACCACCAGGGAAGTTCCATGTGATTGCTTGTTTTAAATTAGGGTGCATACAGTACATTGAGTGCCCCTCCAAGGCAGGTGTCACACCCTGCCCTCGGTGCCTGGTGAATGCTGTACCTCAGCTGTGTGGACTGTTGTGTGACTGTTCCATACATAACCAGGAGAAGGCACTTTGAGTGGTCAGAGGTAGTGTGGTGGCAGGGATGTTGCACCCTCAGACTGAACTAACCTTTGGCCAAATACATGGAGCTGACTGCTTAGTATAGACTTGGATCTGCTGAGATTATAGCTTGGGCTTGAGATCACAGTGCTTTAATGATTCTGTTAGATTGTGTGAGATGCATAGTTCTAAGATTGGGACATTAGCTTGTATCCTGTGAGTACTTAGTGTATGAATTGAGAATTATGAAATATATTAAAATTGCTCTATAGTGATCTTAAGCAAGCTTAGAGGAGGAACCCTCCTCCACTGTTAGTGGGAATGGAAGTTGGTGCAGCCACTATGGAGAACAGTATGGAGGTTCCTCATCAGATTAAAGTTAGAGTTGCCGTATGATCCAGCAGTCCCACTCCTGGGCGTATATTCAGACAGAACCACAATTCAAAAAGATATATGCTGGGACTTCCCTGGAACTCAGTGGTTAAGACTTTGTGCTTCCACAGCAGGGGGTGTGTATTTGATCCCTGGTTGGGGAACTAAGATCCCACGTGCCACACTGTGTGACCAAAAACAAACAAAAGATACATGCACCTTTGTGTTTATAGCCGTACTATTTACAGTAGCCAAGATGTGGAAACAATCTAAATGTCCATTGACAGATGAGTGGATAAAGAAGATGTAACACACACACACACACACACATACACACACAGGAATATTAATCAGCCATAAAAAAGAAAAAAAAATGTCATCTGCAGCAACGTGGATGGAACTAGAGATTATCATACTAAGTGAAGGACAGAGACAAATACCGTATGATATCACTTAAAAATGGAATCTAAAATACAACACAAATGAACCTATCTACAAAACAGAGACAGACTCACAGACAGAGAACACACCTGTGGCTGCCAAGAGGGAGGCAGTGGGGGAGGAATGGATTGGGAATGGGGGATTAACAGGTATAGGATGGACAAACTTATATATAGGATGGATAAACAACAAGGTCCTACTGTATAGCATAGGGAGTTATATTCAATATCCTGTGATAAACCATGATGGAAAAGAATATGACAAGGAATATATGTATGTATAACTGAATCACTTTGCTGTACAACAGAAATTAAACCAACATTGTAAATGAGCTATCCTTTATTAATATACATAAGAAAAAGGAAAACTTTGGAGGAGAGTCAGTGACATGTCATTTAATGCTACTTTTCTGCTGATCCGTGGATCCATGCGGGTCCACCCTGGAAGGTTCTTGGGTGCTACACCGCTGTCTCCCTCCTGGCTCCGCCCCCACCTCCTCTCCCTGGCATCCGTGGTGCTTCCTGCCCTTGAGTATCCTTCCAGAAGTTCCCATCCTTTACTGCTGACTTTAACACTTTTTGTTTCTTTTGCCACAGGATCTTATGGATTTTCTCAACCCAAACGGTAGTGACTGCACTCTAGTCCTGTTTTACACCCCTTGGTGCCGATTTTCTGCCAGCTTGGCCCCTCATTTTAATTCTCTGCCCCGGGCGTTTCCAGCTCTTCACTTTTTGGCACTGGATGCATCTCAGCACAGCAGGTATCTTCCCCTAGTATCTTCCTCAGTGGGGTTTATGTCTCATCCCATTGGACGATGGTTATAGTTACTTGGGGCTCGTTATCAGTTAAGTTAGGAGCAGAGGAGGCCGGCTTGAGCCTGAGCTTTGAGATGGAATTGAGGGAAGGAGAGACAGTGTGAGCAGTGAGAATTGGCACATTCCTGAGGGAGACTTTCTGGAGGCTTCTTAAGAAGAAAGACTGTTCTTCCCCTGGTGGAATTTAAAGATGGCTCTGCCTGATGGCAGGGGCGGGGGCAGAGGATGTGTTAGGGTCCTGGCCAGATTGAATTAGCAGAATTAGCATCCGAAGTATGTTCTTCCTGTGTGACTTTCACCTGCAGCGTAGGTCCCCAACCTAGCAGCCTAACCATTGGCACCCCTGTTTTATGTCTGCTAAGGATTTCTTTCTTTTTTTTTTTGGATTTCCTTCTTTCTTTTTTATTCTTTTTATTTATTTATTTTGGTTGTGCTGGGTCTTTGTTGCTGTGCGTGGACTTTCTCTAGTTGCATTGAGCCTTCTCTAGTGGTGGTGAGCCTGGACTACTTTTCGTTGCAATGTGTGGGCTTGCAGTGGTTTCTCCTATTTTGGAGCATTGGCTCTAGGCGCCCAGCCTTCAGTAGTCGCGGCACTCGGGCTCAGTAGTTGTGGCGCATGTGCTTTATTGCTTCACCGGCTGTGGCTGTGGTATCCTCCCGGACCAGGGATTGAACCTGTTATTGCAGACAGATTATAATCTGCTGTACCACCAGTGAAGTCCTTTTTTAAAAAAATTCTTTCCTTTTTAAAAAAATTCTTTTCTTTCCTTCTTGCCCTCCTTCCTTCTTTCTTTCTTCTTGCTTACATTTATTCTTGAATGCATGTTCTTAGTAGATATTCAATAAATTTGATGAATTATTTTAGGACTTTGATATACATTTACCCTTGTTTTGTAGTCTTTCATATTGTTCAGTGGGGTTTTGTCTTTTCTGAATGTTCAGCAAGATAAGTCACAAAGAACATAGTGCAGATGTTAAATATTTTCCCTGTGACTGGGTCTGAGCTAATAAACCATGTCCTCCTCTCCTGCTGTAAGTCAGATGCTACTTCTTAGGTCACGTGGTGGTTGTGTGTGAATAAATTTGGGAAGTTTGGAAGATAGTCAAGTTGGTGATGAAAATGAGGCCCTGATTTTCAGTGTGGATAATATTTACCTGAAATTGATTATGAAGAAAGAAACTGCCCCACATTTCCCACAAAGGCTTCAGGGAAGGATCTCAATGGCCTGGCCCAAGGTTACAGACTGATTGGAAGGACATTTGAAGTCACTGTCCAGCTTTGACCGGGCCCTCCACTGACCCCCTAGTCAGCAGGGCTAGTTCCCAGCACCTGCTCAGCACTCTTTGCTTATGGATCTGACACCAGCTTCCACACTATCCTCTATTCCCTGCAGGCTTTTATCATCCCTTTTGTTGCTTCTTAATCTCTGTGCATCCTTCTCAGTGCCTGGGATGGTGCCTCAGTTATGGAGAATAGAGGATACTCTGTCTTATTGTATTGTGGGACATGTGTTTGCCTCATATGTTAATATTTATGTTACAACATGTTTGCAAAAGAAAAAAATCCTAATTATCCAATATTACCATTTTATTAGTGGGGGTAACTGAGGCTTAGAAAGGTTAAATAATCTGCCCAAAGGTCACACAGCTGGTTCAGTGGCAGAACTGAGGCTTGAACCCAGAACATTTTGACTTATATATATACTGCTCAGAATACTTAACAGTATTCTGTAAAAGTTGAAACAGTACTGCTCAGGTCGTGTTACTTCTGAGTTGTCCCGGCTTAATTGTGGCTTCCTGGTGTGTGTGTTAGATTGTAGATTCCTTTGCACCGACTCACCAACCTAATTACTTATCCATAAGTTGAATCTTTTATGAGGGATGGAAATGAGCATTCTGGAGAGTTTGAAGTTTCTTCTGTCAAGTAAATTGACACAGTGTGTTTTGTCAATGCATTGGAATTTTCTGGTCTGATCTGTTTTGGCTGTTAGGAACAAAAGTAGTGGAATAATTGTGTCAGGGGCAGCTCCACGTAATAGAAAGCAAGTCAGAGAGCAGAACGGGAATGCCCCCAACCCTGACCCATGAGGAAGGCAGTCAGAAACAACCACAGCCTGTGGTTTCAGTGGCAGAAGCCTCCACAGGTCACAGAAATCTGATCCTTTCTCATGTATTTCCATCCATTCTGATACCGTAATTGTGTGAGGAAACCCACTGTTAATTCAGGTTTCTCTCTTGTAGCCTTTCTACAAGGTTTGGCACTGTGGCTGTGCCTAACATCTTGTTATTTCAAGGGGCTAAACCGATGGCTAGATTTAATCATACAGACCGAACGTTGGAAACACTGAAAATCTTCATTTTTAACCAGACAGGTATGTAGAAATAATATGCTGTAGAAGACGACATTTTATTGCTGGAGGAATATGCCTTCTATGACTTTTGATCAGCTATTACCCTTAAGTGAAGGATTCAAGATTGGCTTTGGGATATAAAACTTCTTTTCTGATGAATGTTGTGGTCCTGTTAAATGTTTATCAATCAGTGGCAAGCTTAACATGATTAGGTAATATTAATATGATTATAGATAGCTTTGAAAAATGTAACAGCTTAGAGAACATTCGCATGCCATACACCTATAGATACGTTTTTACATACATTATTCATTTAAGTGTAATATTTACACAGAAATATGCATTAGTCACTAGTGCCTGTGACTAGTAGTGAATTTTCACAAATCGAACACCTTGAGTAACCGGTACTCAGATTTAGAAAGAGAACCTTATCAGCCGCTTTTCTGCACTATCACTCCTGTTCTCCCCAAGGATAAGCACCATCTTCACTCCTACTATCATAATATAGTATTCCTCGTTTTTGATCTTTGAATTAATGCAGACACACAGTATGGATTCTTCTGTGTCTGATTGGTTTTACTCATCATTATGTCTGTGGGATTCATCTGCATTGTTGTGTATGGTTGTGTTTTTTTCATTTTTGTTGTTGTATGGAGTTCCATTTATTAATTCATGTGTAGATGCTATTTTAATTCCTGGATATTTGCTGAAACACAGGTCCTTATTTTTATGCTGTGGAAGTCTGAGCACTGAATAGTGATGAAATGTCCTTCATTGGAAAAGTTCATTCCTCAAAAGCTTTAATGCCTCAGTTATGAGTACCCACTTTTTCCTGAAATATATTCATTGGAAGTGAATAAAAATTATTATACCTTCCATATATTCTTAGCTGTATGTAATTACTTAGATCCAACACAGAAGAATAAAGAGCTGAATTACCTTATGGGAGTAACTAACTACCAGGTATTTAGTTATTCCAAGTCTTGTAAAGGATCCCTGCTTGTCGTTTAGACTGATATGGAGAAGGGAAGCCAATTTGTTCAGTGCTGTCACAAAACTTAGAACATAAGTGAAACCTATGTAATCACTTTGGTAATCACTGATCCCAGTGTTGGTTAGTTGTTCTAACAATTCTTTCAGTAAATTATTTTAAAACATTTTGAATTTAGCATTACTCACCCTGTGACAACATTCTGTAGACTCCTGAGAATAGCTTTACTAAGTTGTTGAACTTTGGTCTTGAAAGAGAACAAAAGACACCTCATACAATGCACCGACTGAGGCCTTTCTGGTGAGTTCACTGAAATTCTAGTGTTTTAGCTTTGAACAGCTGAGTGGATTCCTGCTCCTTTGATGGGGTGGAGAGAAGGGCAAGTCACAAATTACACTGACAGGCAAGTGAAGCCCATCCCAGCTATACTAGCTGTGCTGTTTAAGCTACATATCATTTTGCATGCCATGCAGAATACTTAAGAAAAATCTGTAGTGGGAGTGTTTTCCATCTCATTTGAAACAAAACTGATTTCTCTTTCAGGTATAGAAGCCAAGAAAAATGTGGTGGTAACTCAAGCCGACCAAATAGGCCCTCTTCCCAGCACTTTGATAAAAAGTGTGGACTGGTTGCTTGTATTTTCCTTATTCTTTTTAATCAGTTTTATTATGTATGCTACCATTCGAACTGAGAGTATTCGGTGGCTGATTCCGGGCCAAGAGCAGGAACATGCGGAGTAGTGACAGATTCGAAGGAGAGCTGGGAAGAATTTCACTCCTTCGTTTCAGAGACTAATGCTGCAACTTCATGGATTTTCTCCAGTGAAGTGCTGACTTACAACTTTAGCCAGATTGAAAGAATCATGTGTTTGCTGAACTGTTTGAATGTGTAAAAAAAAATTATAAACTGATGTTTTAATTAGTCCTATAATAAGCAAATGCAAACATATTCAGTAGAATTCACCATTCTTATTTTTACTACTTGAACATTTTAAGGGAGTAATCCAGTTTGACATGTGAAGATGTATTTTCGTGGAGTAATGAACAGAGTGACAGTATGCTTACTTAGGCAGAAAAAAAGACTTTCAGATTGTGCATTTACAAAACTGTTGATTTCTTGTATACACCTAAGAAAGTTGATTTTCTGTTCATTTGTCTTTTCTCTCCCAGAGTCAGTAAGCAGGAAAGTGTTCTTCTATGGGAAGAATAATTAGGATCAAGAGGTGTGACCTTACAAGTAGCAGCTGATGGGAAAATAAAGAGTCGGATACTGTGGTGTTTGTGACCTCTGATTTCACTGAAAGGATCTGAAGTGGGTTGAGAAGTTGTTTCTGGGTAAGGCAGATGTTAATCAGCATGCATTAACTGAACCTTAAAATGTTCTTGGCCTTCTGCTAGGTTTAGTGAAAGCCAAAAGAAATATAAAGTACTGTTGTTGCCCACAGTTGATTATGGTCTAGTTTAGGACACATGTAGAAAAGAGACAATGTGTAATTGACATGAACTTTTTGAAAGGCTGTTTCTAAAAGATCCCTTAAATTCAGACATGACAGTTGACTACATAATAATAAACTACTGTTATACTGATCATTTCCGGAGTTTAGATAGTTTAGATCATAAGGTATTCTAAGTTCTGTGAAAACAGAACCTTAGATGAGCCTCCTTCCCATAGTGTAACATTCGATAGGGGTTTACAATGTATGTGTCATGCTGTGGACAGCTGTGGCAGGGGTAGTCCCTGGCAGGAGGGGACCATAGCTCAGAAAAGTACCGTTATTATTTCTATTTTACGTGTGAGCCTGGCATATTGAGGTTAAATAACTTACCTAGGTTACATACATAGTACGCTGATGAATCTAGGATTTGAACCTTCATACGTGTATCTGTACGTACAATATTTGAGGGAAAAAAAAGCCCTCGTTATTCCATCTCTTATAATAATGTTTGAGTATTACTATGTGTGCCACATATTGCTTTAAGTGCTTAACATATACCATTTCCTTTATCTTGTACAGTGGCCCTCTGAAGTTGACTCCACCGGAAAATGAGTGAGGCCCTAAATAACTTGCTCTTCGTTATATACTTTCAGTGGTGGAACCCAGCTTCAAACTTAAGCATTCACTAGAGCCTCTATGTGGGCTGGAACCCTGTCCTGCCTCGATGCTATGGCCCAGGCAACCATCATATGCATATCATTCCAGTCTTTCTCTTATGTTTCCCATACTTGTAGCCATGATATAGCATCCTTTTCTCCCTTCTTTTGCTTAACGAGTGATAAATATTTCACTGTTGGTAATAGTGTTCCTAACCATGGCTATAGTATAGGCCTTTGAATAGATTCAGCATTACTTACCTCACCTGTCCTCTTGCTGGATTTATGGTTGTGTATATAATCTTATTCCCTTGGTGGCAGATTCCCAGAGTGGGAGTTATCCTATCAAAGAAACAGGAATTTCCCTCTGGTTTCATATGTAGTAGGGCCCTGTACTAGTCTGGAGGGTGAGGAAAGGCTCCCAGGATGACCAGCGGATCCATGGCTTTGCCTCTGACACTTAGCTGAGGCAGGCTACAGAGGCTCCCCTGGAGGGAAATAGGGAGCAGGGCTGGTTCCTGGAAGGGAGGTCCAAGTGCAGAGGGTCAGCTGGGAAGCACTGGTGTTGAGAGAAGGAGAACTAGAGGGGAAGGAAGTGGTCCAAGACCAGTCAAACATGTCTGTTGAGAACACTATATCAGGAACCCATGCCAGGAGGAGACTGCAACTCCACGGAGGACAGCAAGAATCATCACAGTGCCAGCCACCAGGGATGTAAGCCCAACACTTCTGTCCCTGACTTCTTGGTATTAGAGTTACCTAGGAAAACAACACAGTCAAGCACTGGTTAGAACAGCGTTTTTATTCTCATGAGAAGAGACAGCAAGGTCAGCCCCAGCAGTGTGCACAGGCCCCTCATGGCTCAAGGATGTCCCTCAGGCCCAGCCTATGGCCAAAGAGCGCCCATCTAGTGCCACAGCAGAAGAACCCTCTCCCCTACCGAATGTGACATTCTGAAATGGGGGTGTGTGCGCCGGGGTCACTGACGTCCACGCTTCAGCAGAACAAAGGAGCACACATTCAGTCTGAAACAAGGAAGGATACTCTCACAGGCCGATCAGCCTGGCGCAAGCTGTGTGGGCTCTTTTTTGGTAAGGAAGTGTACCAGGCCCAAAGCCTAGTCCATGTGGCCAAGCAGGACGTGAAAGACTGTGAGCAGGAGGCTGTTTTTCTCAACAGTGTCCATGACAGTTGAGAGGTATTAGGGAAGGAAAATGATGAAAGCAAACCACTGCAAATGATGCGGGGTCTCCAACTTGTTACTTCACAACTACCAGTTAATTTCTCAGTTCTCACTTTAATGAGCAAGATAGTAGAACATTTTTCATGATCCCAAATGCCCAAAGTAAACATTGGAAATACAATCTACAGTTCCAGCTCTTATATATATCCATGTATGGCATCAGGCAAAGGAAACCAGAATGTCTCAGCTTTGAGACCAGTGATATTTGATGAAGGTCTACAGCAAGATTCCTCTGCTGAGTTTTCATCAGGTGAGCAAGAATGAAGAAGATGGGCTGGGTCATAAGTCTGAATTTTTGACTATTTTAGGTAAACAGGCTTTGTTTTTTTCAAGTCTACATGGGAAATAAAAGCAGCTGCTAAGCTGAACTTAAATGGACTCTCATAGTTTTAAAAGTATATTCCTGAGTGTATTCCTATGTTCTCTGCAAAACATATTATTAATTTGCTTGAACTATTTAGTAAAAAAAAAAGACAAGAATATACTAAAACCCACTAAATTGTACCCATTAAAGGGATGAATTTTATGGTATGTGAATTCTATCTCAAAAAAAAAGGAGCGATAAGAATAAAATACTAATACAAATATATAAAACAAAGACTACCCCTTTTGTCCAAATATATAATTTATCTAAATCTGTCCACATGTTGTCTCCGGGATGCCTACTATGTATTGAGTGTGCTACCTTTTAGAAAGCACTGTGAGCTAGGTTTTCCAAATTATTTTATCTAGACAAAGAGAGATGAGTTAGCCTGCCCAGGACACTGGCAGCTAAGTAACAACAGAGTAGAGCTTAGATTCACCCGGTGGCTCCCCGACTTAGAAGGCCCTGTTTGCATCGCTGTAGTTCACTGTCCCACAACCGCTAGTAGAGGGCAATGGTCTCCAGTCACCCCCCCAACCCCCCTGCAGCTCATCTCTTCCTGTCGCCGTCCGCGACATCCTCCAGCCCGCAAGTGCTGTTTGCCCCAACGAGGTCAGACAGTGAGCGAGGCAGCGACAACCCGAGGGCCGGACACCGGAAAGCGAACCGCAGGTCCATTCTCAGAGCCGCGCCAGCCCCAATACCCGCCCCGCACCAGGCGGGAAATCTGGCACCCGAGCGGCGATGACGCCGATGGCCCGTCAAGCCGGGGCTGACAGTGCCGGGGGCCTGCGGGGGCCTGCGGGGGCCTGCGGGGTTGCCCGCCATCGAAGCTCCCAGAGACCTTCCGGGGCCGGTCCGCGTCTGGGCCTGCGCGGCGGGGCAGGGCTTTGCAGGACGGTCTAGGCTGCAGCTGGGAGCTCCCCTCACTGCCCCCGGCTCTGGGGCGGCGGGCGGCGGGCAGGCAGCGCGCCGGGCAGCCCTCGGCGCGACGCTATGGCGGCGGCGCTCGGGGCGCGGGGAGCGACGCGGCGCTGGTTCGCGGCGCTGAGAGGCAGGAGCCAGAGCCTCGCAGCCATGGTGAGTGCCGAGGGCCCGATGTGCGGGAGGAGGGCGAGGCGCAGCCATGCCGGCCGAGAGGTGAAGGGACCGGGGCAGGCCCCGAAGTGGGCCCAGACTTCGTGTAGCCACGTTTGGGCACCCGGCACCTGCCGACGAGCTGGTCTGAGACAGGGGTGGCCGTAGCATCTTCCAGTTTCTCTTGGCTTAGAATTTCGTCGTAGTCTCCGAAATTGCCAACCGGAAAACAAACCACCACGACTTAAGTGTAAAAAAAAAAAGTCAGTATGAAAAGCAGTTGTAAAAATTCTTCACTCGTGATGTGACTAAAGCTGCTTGTCCGGTCGTCTAGATTGTGCGCTCGGTGAGAGCAGGCACCGTCTCTCGCTCTCTGTAAACGGGGCTCTGAATGTTGAATTAACTCGTTTGTCTTGGTGTTAATTTTTTGGAGCAATTAACTAATAAATTATCTTTTGAGTTGCACACTGATTTTTTTTTTTTTTTTTTAATTCCTATAGGCGCCCGGTCCGTTTCCCCGTTTTATAAATTCACATATTGGGGGTAAATTGACTTGAGGGCAAGTTTTAACATGCAGCACCACCTAGTGGGCATATGTTGTATTAAACTCACCGTTTCATTTTCTTAAATTGCTTGTTAGAACCCATTTGGCAGTTTGAATTTTTTTTTAATAGAAAAAAAAATGTGACTCGATGATGGAGAAGATAAGCATTCTGCTTCGTGGCCATTAAGGTGAGAACACAAGTTGAGTGCTTACTGTCGCCTAGGCGTGTCCCAGGGCATACTTCTATCTAGGGCGCTGGTGATCGAGTACAGTTGTGGCATTGGGGAGGAGTGAATAAACAGGTGCGTTTGGAGTGGCTGCCACGTGCCAGGCTCTATGCTGGGTGCCACCACACTTAAGATCTCTTTAAGCCTTTTAAAAATCTTGGTAGGCGTATGTTGTAACATCCGCACTCTAAAACATTGCAGTTCAGAGAGGCTAAGAGATTTACTCAGCATCCACAGCTGAAAGTAACAAAGCTAGGCTTGGATTGAAGATTGCTCTCCAAATCCTATGCTTTCCCTGTCTCTCTGCGTAGCTCCCACAGAAAGAAAATCAAGTCCTCCACAAAGGGTTCTGTGGAGTGTGTGTCGTTAAGGGGACTGTTTATGTTATATGGGTGAAGTGACTCCATTTTACAGTTCCGTACTGGCTCCTATTCCTAGGTAGACACCTGTAGTGAGCACAGTTCATGGACCTCACTGGAGATGTGGAGGTTTAGGGAGGAGGAAGACAGCTCAGAGTGTGCTCCACAGACTCCCAGTGACTGCTGCTTAACCCACAGCATAGTTAATAGTTTTCTTTGCAGCTATTCAATGATAATTCTGTTTCCTTAGCAAAATAGTCTTAGTTGAATTAAAATATTTAAATGTTTAAAATTTTTAGGTAATTTCCTGTATAGGTCTTCTGTGAAATTTTTCACAGTTGTCACTGAAAAGCTAATGAATGGATACTTCTCTTTTTAATAGTATGTGATTTTTGATAACAAGCCTTCAAATGTTTTTATTTAATTAAGAGGCATTCTCATTATCTCCTGTTAGTTGTAGGGAAGGGTAGCTGACTAAGCAAGGAAGAGAAACTAGAAGGTTGGCTCATTAGCATCCTTTTTTCCTTTTTGCAGATTGTAAGTTTACTTCCTTTGCCTTCTTAATTACACTGATAAAGGGTTTTAGGATTTCTGAAGTGGGAATGAGTTGAAGTTTCATGGCAGAGCATCCAGCTCAGCCTCTGGTTGCCCTTTGATAAGGAAGCCTTAAGTTAGTTCGTTCTTTCTGGGGCCAGTCCCTCCCTCACCTGAGCAGGTAGTAGCCCAGCATACAGGTAAGACAGGAGGTACTGGTGGGCAGTTATGCCAGAATGAAAACATACCTCTTCTGACTTCTCATAGGGTGTTCTTTTCTTCTGTCTGTCATGCTGCTCAAAGTTCTTTCCGTTCAAAAACAAGTAGCATGGCAAGTGTGGGCCTGTTAACTAACAGAGCTCTGGGTTTGGGAATGCTCTCACCAGGATGAGTAGGAACAGGTGGACAGTTGTGCACAAGTGCTTCCAAGTGGGCAGTGCTGTGGCTAGATGGTTGAGGGAGTCTGTCTTACTGATGCTTCTGAGACAACTCACGCCACTAAAGCAAGAGCTCTTTAACCTATAGCCCAGAGGGTGTGTGAATGCCCAGAAGTTATTTTATCAAATCTCCTGTAAATGTGCATTTGTTTTTTCCTCTCTGAGGATTGATCGGTCTTAACTAGAATTGAAAGGTGATGGTGAACTCAGAGAGTTGAGACCCATGTGAGTAAGGACTGAAGGCTACTGAGGTGATGTGGGGCCATCCAAAGAGAGTGGACCAGGAGTTGAGAGTCCTGAGTTCTAATCCTGGTTCTGCTGGTGGACTTGCAGGGTTCCTTGGGTGAGTGTGTTACCTCAGTTTCCTAAGTCCTGGAATGTTAACCATTGGTTATGATCTTTGGTAAGATGTCCAAATAGTCAATCTCAACTTTATCTGTAAGAAACCAGGAAAGCTGAATTGTAAAGTTAGAGGCGTTTGTAAGGGGTGATAAGCTTATATACCATGGAGCTAGTCTTGTTTTTATCTCTTTTTGAGAACTTTGTATTTTGAGAACGAAGTAATCAGAGATGGTTAGAAATCGTTGTCCTTAAGACTTTTTTCTGTATCTCTACAGAAAGTAAAGAGCTGTACATGTATTTGAATTTAACCAAACCTCTACATTTCAGGTATTAAATGTGTTCTTTTCATAGTCAGCAGGTACCCACCAGTTGACTGCAGAGGAGAGGAGCCAGATGATACTTGACCTTAAAGAAGCAGGATGGTTGGAATTAAGTGAGAGAGATGCCATCTACAAAGAATTCTCTTTCAAAAATTTTAATCAGGTAATTAGTACATATTCTTGCTTGTGCCATGGTGTTTTGTTTTTTTTTTTTTTGGTCACCTTAGGCTGTAACTCTTTCTATTAGTATTGGTTGTCTGGTACCCTGTGGATCCAGGATCTAAATCTTTTCTTCCTAAGTAATTCAGTGACAGTTATTCTTTCCTTGTTGACAGTTACTGCCACCCAACTGGGTGATTCTCAACTCTAGGGGAAGGGGATGATTTGTGTGATTTGGAAAAATCAGATTCTGATACCACTGTTGCTCTGATTTGGTGTTGGTTAGGATATGTAATTCCCTTTCAAATTTTAAATAACATTAATGGAGTGTCAGCTTTTTACATTTATCACAAGGGGGCATGAGTATAACTGGTTGAGAAACATATACCTGCTTGACTGATCTCCCCTAGTTTTCTTGGATGATTGTCAAGTTTTCTTTCTCTTGATAGTTGCATTTCTGCCTCTAAATCATTTTCCAGGCTGCACCCTCTTCTCTGATTGGTTCATTTTCTCTAGTAGCCAGCCCTTATAGCTTTTCTTGAAAGCTGGCCCCCACCTTGAAGATTGAGCCTTAACAGGGGAACTGTTCCATTAGGGCCCCACCCTGTTTAGAGAGTCATCTCCCATGACTTACCTTTCAGTTCTTACTCCACTGAATTTACATAAGGTCCATGCTTTAGACTGTTCCATGTTTGTTCAGTTAGTTTGGTAATCCTCTGGACAGATTTATTGTTTTTATTTATATTAGGTGTCAGCATCTAGAAGGCAGAGACCATGTTTGCTCAAATAACTGTCTATTGTACCTAACACAGTTCTGGGTACAAACAAGCATTGGATAAATGCAGACATTGATTACAGTGTTTGCTAGTTTCTGGAAGGGTGTGTGAGGACCAGATTTCCACCAAAGAAACTTTCGACATGTTTTCCTAGTAAATGCCGTTGGCTCCACTGTGCTGCCTGCCCCACTCTGCTCTCCATCCATCTGGCTGCCAGCCTTCTGCTGTGTCTCCCACTCCTGAGGAAGCCTGGACCAAGCTGGCTCCTTGTCCCTGCTGCCCCACGTGCTCGACGGCTCTTGTCAGGGGCTTAGCACTCTGTGGCTGGTGGCAGGGAATCCCATTGGTACAGTAAGCTTGTGCATAAGCTCTAGGTAGCATTTTCCAAGCTTATTAAAATTCTTACATGTGTACAGCCTGACTTCTTTAAGCCTGGGCTAATTTATTGGGCTTGAACATGTGGCTTAAAGTACTTGAGTAGTGTTGCCTAAGGCTCTGCCCATGAGTCAGTCATCCAGCCTCACTCTTAACCTTGTGCTCAGGGTACCTTTGGAAGCTGTGCAGGGCATCCTTGATTAACAGTAATATTATTCACCAGGACATTTAATTAACTTGACCTTTTTTTACCCTGCCTTCACTCACCTTTTAGGAGAAGGAGGCAGATGATAAGAAAATCAGCTGATATCAGGGCACATACTCAGAGAACCAGCCCTGAGATTATGTCCTGGGATCAGTTTTCCAGCCAGGCTCCTGTGACTTCAGCATGTAATGGCCTGTAATGGCAACTGATGTCATGACAAGTGTCAGCACCCACCACCCAGAGACCACCAGGAACATGGCCAAAGCTGAACGAATTGGGCTGTTGCTTGTTGCAGTGAGGGAGAGCGCTCACCCCATACAGGGGGCTGTGGGGCGTCTCAGGATGGTATAGGGAAAAACTTAGCACAGGGTTTGGGCTGGTGCTAGTGATTTTGGAGTCTTTAAGGATCAGGGCTTAGATCTGGGTTGGATGCTGTCAGAAAATGGGTTCTTCTATGATTCACTATTTTAATAAATCTTATCTGTAGGGAGAATGGACTACAATGGGACCAAAGCTGAAATCGGTAAAGAAGCAGCAGTCTCTCATTAGCCTGGGGGGGCGCGGGTGGTGGGTGTTTGGTATTTTTTTGTGATTTGGACAGTGTTCATGTTTTGTCTGTGTTGAGATATTGCGGAGTGGTGTCCATGATTCTCTGTGTTACATTCTGTTATTGTCATGATTACAGTCATTATTACAGGAATGGTTTTATTTTTGTCATCTTTCATGGTCACAGGGCAACCCTGTCTGATGTTGATTTTCAACACCATGGCCTAGAAGTGAGTGCCAGGCTGGCTTCTAGCAACTTAGAGGCTTGGGCGATCATAATCCAGGCAGCTGCCGGGTATTGGGCTGATTTTGTCTTTCTCACAACTAACGTTTAGAGTCGTGACCCTCTGGCCCTGTTAGATCCTCACTTATCTTTCACTTATTTTTCAATACAGAAAAGGTACATTTTAAATTATAAAGCAGTGCTATAAAACATTCAAATAGGGTGGGTATAAATTTAAAATAATTTCCTATTGCAACTACTTCCATCTTTTTTTCTATCCTCTTGTAATCTTTCTCCACATGTATAGTTTATTCATAATGTGACAATTGTACATGCATTTAAATTTCTAAAAAGTAGTTTAATTTTTATTGTAAATGTAATACTCATTAACGAATATTTATTAAGCACCTCCCCCGTGCCAGACACTATTCTGAATGCATGTAGCTCCCATTCTAGTGGAGAGGTTAGGCAATAAACAAATGAATAGATAGTGTAATTTTAGAAGAAAATGGCAACCCACTCCAGTGTTCTTGCCTGGAGAATCCCAGGGACGGGGGAGCCTGGTGGGCTGCCGTCTCTGGGGTCGCAGAGTCGGACACGACTGAAGTGACGCAGCAGCAGCGGCAGGTAGTGATAAGTCATGAGGGAGAGTAAAGCAGGGTATTGGGATGGAGAGGAGTGAAGAGGTGAGCACACTGTTCATGATGGAAGCTCCTGGGGAGGGGACCCTGAGGCCTGAGTGATACCAGGGGGTTCAGCACGTGAGGAGCTGGAGAACGAGTGCTGCGATGAAGAGACAGCAGGGACCAGATTCCTGGAGCAGGAGGGATTTTGGTGTGACCATGGAAGAGCCAGGAGGCCAGCGTTCTGGAGGGGACAGAAGGAAGAAGGGGTTGAAGAGAGGGAGGGGCCAAGCACAGGAACTTTGTGACCTTGACAAGGAGTTTGAGTTCTATCCTGTGAAAGAAAGGTCTTGGAGAATTGCAGGCAGAGAAGTGCTGTGGTTTGGGTTATGTTCTAAAGAGCTCACCCTGGCTGTTCTGCTATGAGCAGATGGTGGAAGGGCAAGAGTGGCAGCAGGCAGTGTGTGGAAGTTGCCATGTAATAGGCTAGGCAAGAGATGGCGGGAGACTGTGGCAGTAGCAGTGGAATGTGGAGAGAAATGAAGGATTTCTCATTTATTTTGAAGGCAGGACAATCCAGACTGTCAGATTGTATGTGTGGAGAAGGAGAGGGTCAAGGATGATCCCAAGGCTCTGGCTCAAGCTGTAGGGTAAAGGGTGGTGTCATTTTCTTGGCTGAGGAAAGTGGGGCAGAGATCAGGGTAGGGAATTAAGAATCCCTGTGTTGGACATGTCAGGTTTGACATACTAGTCACCTAAGTGGTGATGTCAATCAACAGCTGGAGATATGAGATCAGAGCTCAGGCTGGAGATAACAGGGAGCCTCCAGAAAGGGTAATTGTGAGAGCACCATCGTGGATGGGATGGGCTGGAATGAGCAGGTGCAGGTGTGCTGTGTCCATTGTGATAGGGAGGAATGCTGAGTGTACGTGTCCAGGTGCAGGTAGGTTGCTGCATTTGTCCTGGGAAGAAGAGGTGGTTTTCTCTTTCGCTGGCTTCGTTTTTTTTTAAGTGAATCATCAACTAAGAATGAGTCAGGTTGGGAGGGAGGAGTGTTGGAGATCTGGGGAAATAGGGAAACAGTCCTCTTAGAGACTAAGACAGTGCAGGAACTACTGAACTGTGGTTGGTTGCTGAGCAGTTCTCAGTGTCACTGGAGATTTATGGGCAAACATTTAAGGTGAAGATCCTGTGTGTTTTTACACAGGCTTGGAGAAGGTGCTAGTTCGGGCTTAATGAAGGCTGACATTTTTTAAAAAAATTAATTTCTTTTATTGAAGTACAGTTGATTTACAATGTTGTATTCTTAGTGTTCAGTGATTCAGATTTATTTATCTATATGCACATTATTTTTCATATTTTTTTCTGTTACGGTTTCAGTTCAGTTGCTCAGTCGTGTCTGACTCTCTGTGACCCCATGAGTCGCAGTACACCAGGCCTCCCTGTCCATCAGCAACTCCTGGAGTTTACTCAAACTCATGGCCATCGAGTTGGTGATGCCATCCAGCTGTCTCATCCTCTCTCGTCCCCTTCTCCTCCTGCCCCCAATCCCTTCCAGCATCAGGGTCTTTTCCAATGAGTCAACTCTTTGCATGAGGTGGCCAAAGTACTGGAGTTTCAGCTTCAGCATCAGTCCTTTAAATGAACACCCAGGACTGATCTCCTTTAGGATGGACTGGTTGGATCTCCTTGCAGTCCAAGGGACTCTCAAGAGTCTTCTCCAGTACCACAGTTCAAAAGCATCCATTTTTCGGCGCTCAGCTTTCTTCACCCAGTCCAACTCTCACATCCATACATGACCACTGGAAAACCATAGCCTTGACCAGACAGACCTTTGTTGGCAAAGTAATGTCTCTGCTTTTTAATATGCTATCTAGGTTGATCATAACTTTCCTTCCAAGGAGTAAGTGTCTTTTAATTTCATAGGTGCAGTTACCATCTGCAGTGATTTTGGAGCCCCCCAAAATAAAATCTGACACTGTTTCTACTGTCTCTCCATCTATTTCCCATGAGGTGATGGGACCAGATGCCATGATTTTAGTTTTCTGAATGTTAAGCTTTAAGCCAACATTTTCACTCTCCTCTTTCACTTTCATCAAGAGGCTTTTCAGTTCCTCTTCACTCTGCCATAAGGGTGGTGTCATCTGCATATCTGAGGTTATTGATATTTCTCCTGGCAATCTTGATTCCAGCTTGTGCTTCTTCTAGCCCAGCGTTTCTCACGATGTACTCTGCATATAAGTTAAATAAGCAGGA